CTTTGATGGAAGACAGTCCACAATGCACCTGATGCCAAAGCACCACATTTCCTTTCTGCTGGACCAGGTATCAAATGCCAGTGGTTTGCTTTTCATAAAGCTTACCCAGTCCTTTACAACATCAATGACATGCACTTTCAGTGGGAAACATCAAAATGAGCATCTTGAATGAAGAAGAAACTCTCCTTCTGTGACTCACTTTGCAAAGATGTTCTAGTGCCATTCAAAGGTTTGGATTTAATTGGCTCGTTTTGAAGGGGTAGTTGATTGTTTGAATTTAAAATCTTTCAATCTTTTTAAACAATGCAACAATAAAATTATACAAGAGCCTTTTTGAGTAGACTTCAAGCTGCTTTTCAGTGCAGCGAGGTGTGTATGGTGTTGAACGGTAATGAGCTTCTTTCTCCAGAGCGCTCTGTTGACACTCCTCATCAGGTTAAAGGAAGTGCCTCTTTCTTTCTCGTTAACAGCCTCTCCCAGGTGTAAGACATTGTCTTTCAGAGAATCCTTAAGTGAATGCAGTGTGTTATTTTGCTGTCAGAAACTACATTGGGGATGATATTTAGTTAAGTCAACCGCGTATTACCGTTTGACGTTGAGAACTGCATCACAGGGAACCCTTTCCACCAACATTTTTTTCCCCAGTCTGGATTTCATGAACATGAAAAGGGACCGTATGTTTTAGCAGTTTGACTCCAGTGTGTATGCGAACACTTCAAAGCAGCTGCGCAGAGACTGAGACTCATATTTGAATTGAATTTCATATCTCTAGTGTCGCCTTCTCCCACAATAGGACACAAATGACTATAAATATATTTTTCAAGTGAGTGACAGTGATGTGGCCAAGTATGGTTACCCATACTAGGAATTAGTGCTCTGCGTTTAACCCATCCTAAGTGCACACACACAGCAGTGAACACACACACACCGTGAACACGCACCCGGAGCAGTGAAACCCAGTGCTTCAGTAGTGTATTGACGAAGAAAAAAGCCTGAGATGAAAAAAGCCAGATATCAGACCATCAGTATTTCAGGGAAGAAGAAGTTTGAATATTTGCAAAGAAGGGCAACAACATGCTCTACAGTGTGGCTTATTGTACCCAAGCAAAGCACGTATGTGACGATACTGGAAAATCAGACACATTTCAGCTCTTCAGTGATAATGGGACACATGCATCATGATGTGATTTACCCAAGTAACACTTTGTTGTTCCAGGATCAAGACTCCTACCAACCAATCAACTCATTTGTTTTTGTTGTAGTTGTCTTTTAAGGAATCATAGACAACCCTTTTCTCTTTTGAGAGCTTTAATACAGATTATGACAGTCATATTGTAATGTTTCTTGTTCAGATGACAGCCTAAGCTCAGACAGCGAGGTTCTGGAGATTCCCTTCATCAGCAGATATAGAGCAGGAGTGTACGAATGCACCGCAGCCAACGAAATTGCAGTGGACACACAGACTGTTGAGCTCACAGTCAACTGTAAGTCTCTTGTGAATTTAAATCAACATGTGCTACACATATATATGCAACATACAGTTGGGACGAAAGACTATTAAATATTTATTTATTTATAAAAAAATATTTGGATTAAACATACAGATGATTTATTTAAAAATGAATAAATAAAATATATAATTGAATTTTTAATTAAATGTTTTGAAATGCAAAATAAAACCATCATCACTAAATATCAATACTTATGAACCCCACTTTATGTGTAAATCGTTTGTTTGTTTAAACCTATAAACTAAAATATAAAATTATAACAAAGATCTTTTTTGTGGTTTTCTGTGTTTAGACCCTCCCAGTGTTTCAGATGGCAGAGATGTTGGCGTGACCCTGGGTCAGAGAGGTGTCCTGCAGTGTGAAGCAGATGCTGTACCAGAGGCAGATTTTGAGTGGTACAGAGATGACAGGAGGTATGGCATACTATTATGAAGCGATATTCTGCCTCACCTGTTCCTTTCTTTGGGATAAAACCGTAGCCTTAATGTACGGTTAGTGTACACAATTTCTCAATTTCTTTTTTTTGACTAGATGTGTACAGTAGCAGCTAGTTATTAACAAGAGTTTTCTGTATTCCCTGTATATCTGTCGGATTTATAATATTGGATGTGACATTGTGAAGTGAAGGACAAATATTTTTCAGTAGCTGTATACATCTGACTAGATGTGCTGTCATTCGTTCACTGTTTTTAACAGCTAAATACTTGAGTGCCTTTGGCTGGAATGTGTCTCAGTACATTCTCTCAAACTGTCTTTGATGTCAAGTGAAGAATAAGTTGTCACAATGTTGTACCATAATTAATGTGCATAAGTGTATGTGCGTGTCCCTCTGCATGCCACTGCCAGTAATTCAATCCTGAATTGAATTGTTTTGCCTCCTTTTATTGTATCCAAGCCCACTGCAATCTGTGTCCGAAAATGATGATGCTGTCATAAATGTAACCTCTAGCTTCAAAGGAAGCTCTGATGTACCGTAAACAAGGCCGGGCTGATTCAAGTCTCCCCATTTGCTGACTGTTTACCAGGATCTTCAGTGACTTCGATGGCATTGAGATCGAGGATGCTGGAGCATTTTCAAAGCTGACTTTCTTCAACGTATCCGAGGCAGACTATGGCAATTACACCTGCGTCGCTATCAACAAACTGGGGAGCGCTAACACAAGCATCATCCTATACGGTAAGTTTCAGTGGTTGCTGGTTTCAGTCAAGTCTGTTTGGAGCCTCTTCACAATTCTTCGACTAGGTGAAGTAGTTAGAATTTTTTTTCCTTAAACGTTTGTTCAAAAAAAGCTGAACGAAAGAAGAACTTCCTGATAATGTTCCTGTAAACACGAATTTTTCCTTGGTAGTTTCTGACCCGTTCAACTATTAATCTTTGAGATTTTCATCTCAGGATTCTCCTTCATTTGCTTTTGATTGATGTTTATGTGTTTGTTTTTGTTGATGTAGAAATAATCGAACCCACTAGTTCGACGCTATTGCAAGGTTAGTAGAGTGCATGGGAATGTGGCGTCCCGCTCACCTCCTAAAGCATGTTCCAGCATGTGTAATATGCAAAGAAGATGCGAACATGGTTATTTTCACATCAACCGCAACATGACAAGGCCAGGTCCTTGATACAGCACCCAAGTTTATCGGCGAGGGCGGCCCACAAAATTTGAACAGGGTAGTATAATTGACGTGTCTCGTCTGACAGAATGTGACTGTCAAATTGTAAATTGGCCACTAGCTATTCCTATTAAGAGGGTTATTAGCTTAAAATCCCATTTTGTAATGTCAATAATATATTCAGCACATTGAGTGACAATCTGAATTGGCGCTCTGGGATTGGCGGGGTACTGACATGCCTCAATCTGCCTTCAGTCACTGTGGGTTGATGAATGTGTCTCTGTTTTCTGTAGCCTAAACATCTTTCTCTTTCTCTTCTGTCACTTTCTTTCCTTTATAACCTTCCTCCACCATGGCATGGCTTCATTATGTCAATGCTTGCTCTCATCCGCTGTTTGTAAGTACATGTCTGCGTCTTATGATGTCTTTTGATATTTGTTGAATTGTGTGCTTCATTATTACTCAGCTGATGAGAAATGTACTTAAAGGAAAATTGTCATCATTTACTCATACTTCCGTGGAACAGGAAAAAATGTAAATACTTTTTTTCTAACCAATACAATTACGATGAACAGGGTCTGGACCAAACGGACAGAAAAGCACCATTAAAGTATAGTAAAAGTGGTTCATATGACTCATGCGCTGTAGTCCAAGACTTCTGAAGTTATACAATAATTTGAGAGCAGTAGTGATGCCCGATTCATAAAAGAATCATTCTTTTGAGTTGGAAATTTTTGAACAATCAATTTATGTGATTCAGAACACTTCAGAATACTTGAAATATAACACTTGAGTTTAATGGACTGCTTTTACTATACTTTTATGGTTCCTTTTTAAAGCCTAAAAGCTTCAATCCCCATTCATTACAGTAGCATGGACAAGAACGACCAGTGTATTATTCCGTTCCAAAGTCATGCAGGTTTGGGTCGACATGACGGTGGGAAAATGATGACAAAATTTTTCATTTTTGACTGAGCTGTCACTTTAAATGTACATTTGCCCCTTACAAAAAAGTGCCATGGTCTTACCTGGACATAGTAACCATGGTAATACACAAAGGTCTATTGTACACTCTTAGAGAAAAAGGCACAAAAACTCTCAGTGGGGCGGTACCTTTTCAAAAGGTTTAAATGTGTTAATTTTAGGTACAGTTTTACAAAGGTGTACCTTTTGAATAGGTAATGCCCCAGTGACAAACTTTGTATCTTTTTTTCTGAGAGTGTACATAAATCATACCACAGTACCACAGTATATATATAATCTATATACCATTGTACTCCCACAGTAGGAGAGACCTCTGTCAATTTAACTTTTCAAATTTTACTCTCAGACTACTGCAATTTTTCTGTCTTTTGGTATAAAAACTGTGAATGTACCAGCAGTAATATTACCATTAATGCACTCACATAGAGAAAAAAAACATTTAATTACAGACAAAATTTGAGTTAATATACATTCTATTGATGTATAGAAAATTGCAGTGCACACTTCAACCAGTAAATCTCAAATAGCTGCTTAACTCAAAGTAATGCCATTGATTTATTTAATAAAATATTTTATAATTTTTATGATACTGATTTTTTCATTTTATATAGTACATTGTTTTAGCTATGTTGAATAATACAATATTTGAAATATTTTTACTAAAATATACTGATTGTCTGCTAACTCAAGAACAACCTTCTATATAAAAGTAGTTCACTACATATTTTAAAGATTTTTAGTTTTCTATTCACTCATACAGGTTTTCATAACTAAGGTTATTTTATCTCAGAGAGCAAAATTAGCATATGTTAACTTTTAACTTACAATCTGTCAATAAAATAAATAGTTTTTTTTTTTTAAATACATTCTCCTTTAAACCTCAAAATCGTTTTATTTTTCTTACAAACCAGTGCGCTTTTTTTCCATGCAGAGGGAGTCTTTACTGAACATATGCTGAATAAATATCATCACTCGAACTTGTTTGTGATTGAAAATGTATGTGTTATAATTGCCTCCGGTCTTTCCTACTTTTTTTGTAAGGGGTCGACCCACACCTCAGTGTGTTGTTGTTGTTGGTTGTTACTGATTTGTCCTTGCATTGTCCTTTTATCTTTCTTCTCTGCCAAGAATAGAAATCTTGTCCTGGTCAACTTCTCTCCACTGTCTGGCCGGGTACTGACATGCCTCAATCTGCCTTCAGTCACTGTGGGTTGATGAATGGGTCTCTGTTTTCTGTAGCCTAAACATCTTTCTCTTTCTCTTCTGTCACTTTCTTTCCTTTATAACCTTCCTCCACCATGGCATGGCTTCATTATGTCAATGCTTGCTCTCATCCGCTGTTTGTAAGTACATGTCTGCGTCTTATGATGTCTTTTGATGTTTGTTGAATTGTGTGCTTCATTATTACTCAGCTGATGAGAAATGTACTTAAAGGAAAATTGTCATCATTTACTCATACTTCCGTGGAACAGGAAAAAATGTAAATACTTTTTTTCTAACCAATACAATTACGATGAACAGGGTCTGGACCAAACGGACAGAAAAGCACCATTAAAGTATAGTAAAAGTGGTTCATATGACTCATGCGCTGTAGTCCAAGACTTCTGAAGTTATACAATAATTTGAGAGCAGTAGTGATGCCCGATTCATAAAAGAATCATTCTTTTGAGTTGGAAATTTTTGAACAATCAATTTATGTGATTCAGAACACTTCAGAATACTTGAAATATAACACTTGAGTTTAATGGACTGCTTTTACTATACTTTTATGGTTCCTTTTTAAAGCCTAAAAGCTTCAATCCCCATTCATTACAGTAGCATGGACAAGAACGACCAGTGTATTATTCCGTTCCAAAGTCATGCAGGTTTGGGTCGACATGACGGTGGGAAAATGATGACAAAATTTTTCATTTTTGACTGAGCTGTCACTTTAAATGTACATTTGCCCCTTACAAAAAAGTGCCATGGTCTTACCTGGACATAGTAACCATGGTAATACACAAAGGTCTATTGTACACTCTTAGAGAAAAAGGCACAAAAACTCTCAGTGGGGCGGTACCTTTTCAAAAGGTTTAAATGTGTTAATTTTAGGTACAGTTTTACAAAGGTGTACCTTTTGAATAGGTAATGCCCCAGTGACAAACTTTGTATCTTTTTTTCTGAGAGTGTACATAAATCATACCACAGTACCACAGTATATATATAATCTATATACCATTGTACTCCCACAGTAGGAGAGACCTCTGTCAATTTAACTTTTCAAATTTTACTCTCAGACTACTGCAATTTTTCTGTCTTTTGGTATAAAAACTGTGAATGTACCAGCAGTAATATTACCATTAATGCACTCACATAGAGAAAAAAAACATTTAATTACAGACAAAATTTGAGTTAATATACATTCTATTGATGTATAGAAAATTGCAGTGCACACTTCAACCAGTAAATCTCAAATAGCTGCTTAACTCAAAGTAATGCCATTGATTTATTTAATAAAATATTTTATAATTTTTATGGTACTGATTTTTTCATTTTATATAGTACATTGTTTTAGCTATGTTGAATAATACAATATTTGAAATATTTTTACTAAAATATACTGATTGTCTGCTAACTCAAGAACAACCTTCTATATAAAAGTAGTTCACTACATATTTTAAAGATTTTTAGTTTTCTATTCACTCATACAGGTTTTCATAACTAAGGTTATTTTATCTCAGAGAGCAAAATTAGCATATGTTAACTTTTAACTTACAATCTGTCAATAAAATAAACAGTTTTTTTTTAAAAATACATTCTCCTTTAAACCTCAAAATCGTTTTATTTTTCTTACAAACCAGTGCGCTTTTTTTCCATGCAGAGGGAGTCTTTACTGAACATATGCTGAATAAATATCATCACTCGAACTTGTTTGTGATTGAAAATGTATGTGTTATAATTGCCTCCGGTCTTTCCTACTTTTTTTGTAAGGGGTCGACCCACACCTCAGTGTGTTGTTGTTGTTGGTTGTTACTGATTTGTCCTTGCATTGTCCTTTTATCTTTCTTCTCTGCCAAGAATAGAAATCTTGTCCTGGTCAACTTCTCTCCACTGTCTGGCCTAAAAAAAATGTGTGGGATTGGTAACCATGTCCTCTCCGGAGAGTCATTAATTGCATTGAATTTGATTGTGAGAACCTCACATTAGTATAATTCCACTTGTGCAGGATTTACTCTAAGCTGTGGCTGCAGAATAATTGGATAGCTGTCCCTAAAGAAAGCCTACCGTACTCTCCTAAATCCAGGGGAAATTAGACTTTAGTCTAAAAGGCCCATCAAAGAGAAAGATTTAATAGACATCAATGCTAATACCATGACATAACATTTGTTTCGTTGGGACTGAATATATCTCTAATAATGATCGTTCACACCAAACATGAAGCGAAAAAGGCAAATCAAACATCTGTTCCCACCAAGAGTGAAAAAAAAATATTTGTTCAGATAAAACTTTATATATAATACTTTCCATCTGTTTGTGTATATGTATATACTGGGTGTTACATGACTACTGTACTTTTACTAATTGATTTGTTGGCCAAAAAAGTAGTAGACTAGTCTGTTGTGTTGTACATTAAATGACTCGCTTCTTGCCATTCAGCCATCAGCCATCCAAATCTATCATGGCTAACAGCAAGTCTACACTGTAGAAACCAAATAGACTGCTTCAATTTTAATCAGTGAAGTTGTCTACACAGCACAGCATTTTTGTTTCAATATAGGCATGCAATAACAAGAATATATCCCATGCAGCTAAGATGATGTGGGCAATATCTCCACTGCCAGACTCATGCTGCTTGTGTTGTGATGAACGGTGTATAAAGACACCTCACACTCGCTTATAGTTTCTGTCAGCCTCTGGACAGCATTCAAAGCAATGTGTGTGGGATTATGATGGAACATGATGCATAATTTACACAATCTGGAAGTGTTCTTCCCATATGATTTCTCCATAAGGATTTCAGAAAGTCAATCAAGAGTTCTAAGGCATTAATCAAACCAACCAGCTCTGAGATTAAATCAAAGTTGGTAATGACATTCAAGCCCAAAAAAAATAAAAATATTTAGATTTTTGATCTTTTGACAATGAGCTAAGCAACCCATGAAGATGTAATTAAATTAAAATATATGGTACAATTTATGATGAAATAGTCAATAGTTTTAAGTATAAAAATCTATTATTGATTAAATCATGTATTGCAATTATTTTTTTAAATATATAAATAAATAAAGAGTGTCTTAACACCATTCGCAATGCTTGATGAGAGTGGGTGGTTGTTAATGAACTCTTTTGCCATGGATCTCATTTCCATGGTAACCATAGGTCTCTGAAGGGTAGATCCAAGGAGGATCTGTGAGTAATTGTGAGTAATATAGTTCTTCATTGAGAATGTGGATATCCAACATGAAACATTTTTCAATTTTTGTTTATTTATTTTAAATGAAGCTGGAATCACACATACTTGTTGCCTTTACAGATACATATTTCACTACTTGGAGTGTATGGTAGGTCTGGCTTGAAATGATTATTGATTATATGTTAAAAATCTGTTTCTCTATGGAGAAAATGAATGGGATTTCTACTTCTGGAACCCAACTGTTGCGTTCTATTGAACAAAAGCAGCTGAAGTCATGTGATCTGTGATTAGTTGACTAAGGATCAAAGAATCCATTAGCAGAGCTAAATAAGTAGTTGACTTGTCAGTGCAACCCTTAAATATAAATATACACACATATGGTATTTCAACATTGAACATGTCTGAACATTAGCATGTTAGTTGTTACCTAATGACATATGAAATATTTTGTTATAATTATTTTTGCTTTTTGTATTATTACTGATTAATATAAGTGCAATAGTTTTTATCAGACTGCCGTACTTAGTACAAAATGGAAATGAGAAAGTATGAATTATGACAACCACTCAGTTGTCTGTGTGGCTTGTGAATCATCTGAGCTACACCTCACTTTAGTAATCTGGTTAAACTGCACCTTCAGTTATTATCTTGTTTATAAGCAACTGCAATTACGGCTGACCTCGGCGGTTGACTGGTCAAGGATGCGGTGTACAGTAGGGTAATGATAGTGATAGCACAGGGAGACGGGATGTGCTGGTTTGAAATGACAAGAACAGATGCTTCTAAGATACAAATGTGACCACTAAAGACCCTCGCTTAGACGTTAATTTGCCGAACTGGAGCACTTTCGTCCCAGTTAGATGACCCGCTACCACAGCAGAGCAGCAGAACTATGCCAGAAATACTCTAGATTGGCTTGATGAATATATTTAGGCAAAAACATCTAATTTAGACTACAATATGTGCCTAATAGCACCAACGGGAATGATGCACTATAGGTTACACTGTGAATTTTTTTGAGTTCATATTGCTTGTGTTCTGAAGTGTTTTGTTATATAATCTCTCTTTTAGTGGAGACGGCTTCAGTTTTAGAAATGACTTCATCCGATTTAGAGCAAACAGCCTTTGAAAACAATGATTTGTTGGAAGGTTTGTGATACACAAGCTACTAAATACTACTAATCACTACAAACTCATCAACAAATAGGAGATGCTATAATATACTAACATAGATTTTAACAAGACTTAGACAATAGAAAATAGAGAAAGAAAATAGCTCTGTAAATGCTGACAGCTGACACCCTCGAAAAGAATGAAAGATAATATTGAGGAAGTAAGATAAAATCAGAAGTGTAGATGTGTAGGTGAGCGCCCTACATAAGAGTTCATACGATGTTACAGACAGTCTGAAGAATAAAAACGAGGCAGTTTACCACACAGTTGGAGACCGGAGCTGTTTTGCCTGACACATGTGAATCTTTTCAATGCTTTAGGACCCGGAGCAGTTCAGGATGGCAACAGCGGCACGTCAACGGTCTTCACACCCACCTGTCTACTTCTCATCATACTTCTACAACTCTTGCTCAAGTTTTGATGCCGAAGATGTTTTTCAGTGGATAAAAATCACAGTTTGTGTGACATCACTCATCCTGGAGTCGCAAATCGTGCATGGGTTACCGAAAATGCCCAAAGATGTGCATGGGGTACCCACGTACTTATTTTTAATAAAGTAATCATGCATTTCTTTTGTTTATAATAGAGTTTAATAATGTAACTCATCTTACATTGCTAATTATCGCACTGTTTAGCCCCACTGAATACAGGTTTTGAATCCATAAAATGCAAATGACAGAGGCATGTTTAATTTTAAATATTTATTTTTGTGACTATCATTTTAATTTAACTCTGTAACCCCTTAAGAATTCATATAGAATACAGTGTGATTGGGGAGTAATTATTTCAAGTCAAAGGCATGCAATAAGGAAGGGAATATGTCTCAGTCTTTTTTTTTTGGATTGTTGTTATATACTTTACTGTATCATAACTGTAAAACTGATCAAAATAAGCAGCACAAAAGACACAAACATGTATTTTTTTTGAGTACATCTAATCTGTATTTTACCATTTAACACACACAAAACAATGCGGTACATATCAGTATTTTTTATTTTGATATTATTTTGATGACCAGAATGGCACAGTTGGACTGATGTACAATGTAGTCAAAGTTGGAAAAAGTTGCATTTGGAGATTTGTTCTGGGTGTAATGCAAAGATATTGGATCCAATTTAAAAGCCCAAAGAGCAATCTGCTAATATCTGTTGATTTGTATTTTTTATTTTTGTTACCACAGTTTTTCCAAATGGCTTTTTGTTGAATTCTGTCTAGATTTTGAGTTACACAAACCAAACTTGGCGCTTCAAATGTTCTTTATTTAAACACTCTCATCGCCGTTCCTGCTAACATCTCTGTATGTATATGCATATATATAACTTGTACAAAGGGAAAATATGCACACTTGTTTTTACTAAAATTGTGAACCTGTTTAATACAATGCAACATTTTCTATTATTATTATTTTTTTATTCCCTTTTTCTGAAGCTATGTAATTTATTTCTCAAATGGTATTATGGTAGATACCAGCTCATTTCAGTAACTCATTGTGAACTCCGATGTCTAAATATTGTGATTTCGGAAAAAGCAGATGAGACTCATTTGACACTCATTTGAAAATGTCATTGTTATCCTTTGTATTCTGGAAAAAAAAAAGTGAGATTTGATTAGAAGTTCAGTTTCTGAATCTTACCATCGCAGTTTAAGATGCTGTTTGACCCTTAAATCCATATTACAGTTTTGTTGCAACATTTGACAGGATGTATGTCTAATGTTTCCCTTTTTTTTCATTTGAAGGAATAGTTCTGCCAAAAATGAAAACTGTCAATATTTATTCACCAGCATGCTTTTCCAAAGAATAAACAAAACAAAACACAAAATTCTGAGAACAGAAACAAGTATTCCTTGAACATTTCAGTTATTCTGCTAAACTATCAGGCCTCGGATGACTTGGAATGTAGTGCACAAGTCATACTGACCACTTTTATGATGTTTTCTTGTCATTCTTGTTGCTCAACAGCATCTGTCACTTAGGTAAAATAACTATTAAGACATTCGCCAGTACATCATTTGTGATTTATGAAAGAAAAAAAAAAATCCCACAAAATGACTTGAGTGTGAGTAAAATGATGGCAATTTTCATTTTTGAATGAACAATCCCTTTAAATATAATGTTTTTAAAGCATCTGTCACTTAGGTAAAATAACTATTAAGACATTCGCCAGTACATCATTTGTGATTTATGAAAGGAAAAAAAAATCCCACAAAATGACTTGAGTGTGAGTAAAATGATGGCAATTTTCATTTTTGAATGAACAATCCCTTTAAATATAATGTTTTTAAAACCACATATCAGAGCTACCATTAGTCCAGTGGATTTTAAGCACAAGTTGTATGTTAATGAAAGGGAATGTGATGTATGTGCAGTGTGTTTTCTTGCCCCAAAGTTCTATTGTTTAGCATTATGGCATTACTTTTTATCTTTTTGTTTTTTTCTTTAAGATATAGGGATCACAATGAGACTAAGAACAGTTCACACATTTCATAAATAGGTAGATCTGTGAGACTAAAACTGTCACGACAGTCAGAAAGCCACATGTTTATGGCAGTACTTTAATTTAAAATCACAAATTTAAAAAGCATCTCCTGATTAATGTCTGTGTGGAAAAGGTTTTGGATCAAGGCTGATCAAAGAGAGAGCGATCAATCAATGCACCGTATTAACAGAAACCACAAGGCTTGTCTGTTCATGGCTGTAATTCAATTCACACGTCCAACTTGGTGAGAAGAACTGACTAAAGTTTTTTTTGGGCTCCCACCACCCAACCTTTAAAAGAACCAGCCTGGAGAAGTTCATTTTGTTCCAGTGGTCTCTGGTGTGGTCTCTGGTCGTTCCCTGGAGAAGTATTTTAACTCCTTGTATTGTAAAGCGAGAACAACTGACTAAAGTTTTTTTTGGGCTCCCACCACCCAACCTTTAAAAGAACCAGCCTGGAGAAGTTCATTTTGTTCCAGTGATCTCTGGTCGTTCCCTGGAGAAGTATTTTAACTCCTTGTATTGTAAAGAATTTGTTTTTCCTTTAATGGAGATGGTGTGTTCATATTTAAGACTTACAATAATAAAATGTTGTATCTAAATAGATTTGGTCTGCAGTTTTATTGTAATTCTTGAAGAAAGGATTCATAGTTATAGAAATTATATACAAAATTTAATTATATACAAATATAAAATATACATGCACAATTAACTGTCATCTCTCTGGTCTACCTAGGTGGCAATATGGTTTTATTTGTATTTGAATTCAAGATGCTTAGTTGCATGAATGTCTTGTGCCTCTTTGTACCAGAGTATAATTGAACCAGTAAATGATTACCGGGGCTAATGCTGCGTTCCATTTGTACTTGGAAGTTGGAAATTCCAAGTTCCCAGCAACTTTTTTTTTTTTTACTGGAACGCCCTCCCAAGTCAGAGTTCCGACTCCGTATCGCAACAACTCCAACTTCAGAATCTAATATGGCTGCCCAGTGCATCAACAGAAGAGAAACAGTAATATATTGTTTATTAACATTTATGACAATGTGCCCCTATAAACTCAGTGGTGCACCAAGTACTATCCAACCTCTATTTGTGGATATTATACTATGGTGTTATCTGTGCCAAAATCCTGCTTTTTATGGGTTTTTAATGGACTGGTATTGCTAACAATGGCCGCGTCTGTCTTGGATTTCTGACTTCTCTACTGGAACACGGTCCACTTCGGTGTGACATCATTCCCAGCTCTGACATCCGATTTCCACGGTAAATGGAACGCAGTATAATTGTCATACTTTTTACTTGAATATAATTTCAGAGTGGGTATATATATTAGACTTTTTGTATAGACACATACTTTAGGTCTTGCTTACAATAAATAAATAAATAAAAATGCTGACCCAGTAGCAGGACATGTTATCATACTATATGGGATTAGTTGTCACAATGGCCATTAAAAAGGTAAAACATTAAACAGTTTTAAGTAACAGTAAAACAACTATTCAACTTTTTATGGGTTTTTAATGGACTGGTATTGCTAACAATGGCCGCGTCTGTCTTGGATTTCTGACTTCTCTACTGGAACACGGTCCACTTCGGTGTGACATCATTCCCAGCTCTGACATCCGATTTCCACGGTAAATGGAACGCAGTATAATTGTCATACTTTTTACTTGAATATTTTTCAGAGTGGGTATATATATTAGACTTTTTGTATAGACACATACTTTAGGTCTTGCTTACAATAAATAAATAAATAAAAATGCTGACCCAGTAGCAGGACATGTTATCATACTATATGGGATTAGTTGTCACAATGGCCATTAAAAAGGTAAAACATTAAACAGTTTTAAGTAACAGTAAAACAACTATTCATGTTAATAAACATATCAAGATATCAAAAAAACTTGCCAGGTTCGATAATCGCTCCTGTTACTAATGTAACTCCTGTTTACTCTGATACTGAAGCCTGATTTGTTCACGTTCGTGTAGTTGCACAAACCAATGGCGCTTCAACCCACCAAAAGGGGTGGAGCCGACCACTAAATAAGTCGGCTCTGAGCACCATTTCATCAGAATCTTTTGACTGAAGCGACAGTCATCGATTCGTGCCTACGCAATGCTCGTTCCCTTATCTCTGGGAACCGAGGTTACGTTAATAATTGGAACATTCGCTTTCAAGCGGTTTCTCCCTTTGCGTTGCTGACACTTATGGGGAACGCATCCAATAACACCATGCTATAAGCAAGTGCAGAATAAAGCCGCTCTGTGAGCCCAGCCCCAGAGCATTCATACTGAGGGCTTCTGTAAGCATGAGCCAACAATGAGACCCAAGCCGCTTAGGACTACTAGCCGCCTTGGTGATTGATGAAGTCTACCACCATCATGCTGTCAGAACGGACCAGGACATCCTCTGAAAAGCCCTGACTGTTCAGTGACTAGTGCTTTTGAGTATGTGGGTCGCTATCACAGCTGTAGTTTGCTTGGGTGAGCACTGAATGAGAAGGATGGGCCCAGATTGAATGGGGCTTCCATCGCTCAATGTTAAGTGGAGTGATGGAGAGCGAGCGTGAGACTTCTTCGAGGGAATTCCGGCCTCAGCGAGAATTGACCCTCTCCTCTTCCTCTCTGCTTTTGGATCAGGACAGCTTCTGAGGCTCAGAGTCCAACATCACTCTGGGGCGGGGACCTTGACGTTTTGGAAACGGGTAGCATTTCGCTGAATGTGAACAAATCAGGCTTTAGTATCAGAGTAAACAGGAGTTTCCCCATAAGCGTCAGCAACACAACGGGAGAGACCGTTCAAAAGAGAAATAAAGAAATGTTTCTTAAATGGGAAATCAGCATATTAGAATGATTTCTGAAGGATCATGTGACACTGAAGAATGGAGTAATAGCTGCTGAAAATAAATTACACAAGAATAAATTACGTTTAAAAAAAATCTTACGGGCCCCAAACCAACTCAAACAACACCTGTCTGTCTGTGTGTGTGTGTGTGTACTGTATATCAGACCTTTGCGTAAATGTATAGGCCTTTAAATATGCTATTATGTTCCATTGTTTATCCACTTAAAAAATTAAAAAAATGAAACCTTGTTGAAACCAGAACAAATCCACATTAACACAGGCTGATTCAAAATCAATAATTCAAAGCCCAGATTCTGTGAGCACTTAAGCACCATCTCGATCCTCTGGTTAAGGAAGGAGGTGTCAGTATGGTAAGTGTGTTATAGAGATTTGACAGACACGGCCTGTGGGAGTGATGCGCATGAGCTTTAAGTGCTGAGCTTGAGAATGAACCTGTGAGATCCATTCTGAAAGTGACACGAGAGCAGTCTGTGATTGAAGTAAAAAAAAAGGCTTCAGAGAGGACTCTTAATTAAAGCCTCGCATTTCACTGTCTTTTTTTCTTCCGTGATTGTTCATTGTAGATGATGGCTGTAGTATCATTCACTGCTGCTAGTTAGAGAGGCACCAGGTGACAAACATGGCAGTATGGAAGACAATTCGGATGGCGCTGAGAGACAGCTAAAAATGCAGGTAAACTGCTGGATCAGCTTTACATATCTGAAAGAAAATGACGGCCACAAAAATATAAAATTGGATGAATGAATGCATGGAGTTTTAATTTAGGAGACTGCATGGGCTAGTTGTCTCAAGGGTTTCCATTCAAAGTGAGCAGAGGATTTTTTTTTACTGGTTACAAAAATTTAATTCAAAGCTGCTGAAATTTTATTTGTGAATTTTATCAAACTTTTTTGTCAATTTGGCACATTTAGGCAAGAGTGAACTACAGAACTGAGCATGAACTGTGTTCTAAGTACCAGTGTTATTATAGTTAAATAAAACTGAAACCATAAAAAAGTTACTTGAAATAAAATAACTTGTTGAAACCAGAACAAATCCACATTAACACAGGCTGATTCAAAATCAATAATTCAAAGCCCAGATTCTGTGAGCACTTAAGCACCATCTCGATCCTCTGGTTAAGGAAGGAGGTGTCAGTATGGTAAGTGTGTTATAGAGATTTGACAGACACGGCCTGTGGAGTGATGCGCATGAGCTTTAAGTGCTGAGCTTGAGAATGAACCTGTGAGATCCATTCTGAAAGTGACACGAGAGCAGTCTGTGATTGAAGTAAAAAAAAAAAGGCTTCAGAGAGGACTCTTAATTAAAGCCTCGCATTTCACTGTCTTTTTTTCTTCCGTGATTGTTCATTGTAGATGATGGCTGTAGTATCATTCACTGCTGCTAGTTAGAGAGGCACCAGGTGACAAACATGGCAGTATGGAAGACAATTCGGATGGCGCTGAGAGACAGCTAAAAATGCAGGTAAACTGCTGGATCAGCTTTACATATCTGAAAGAAAATGACGGCCACAAAAATATAAAATTGGATGAATGAATGCATGGAGTTTTAATTTAGGAGACTGCATGGGCTAGTTGTCTCAAGGGTTTCCATTCAAAGTGAGCAGAGGATTTTTTTTTACTGGTTACAAAAATTTAATTCAAAGCTGCTGAAATTTTATTTGTGAATTTTATCAAACTTTTTTGTCAATTTGGCACATTTAGGCAAGAGTGAACTACAGAACTGAGCAT